CAATAAAACTCAGCTGATCATCCCACGGAGTACCTTCATTCTTGGACCACGTATTTCTGTCTTTGTTAAATAAATATAACAGTTTGGCGTTGTTGGCAGGATCCACTAGGAGATGGACGGACCAAGGCCACATTGCAGGTGGACTGATATGAGTGAGACTATAGACTTGCGTGCACTATAGAGTTCTGAGTGCACGCACCAGGTTTAGTCTTACTTAACTCCTTTTAAGGATCAGTTCTTTTCACATTTATTCAGGAAATGTAACAGAAGATATGCTCAGATGATGATTTTTTTTCTAATGCAACACTTTCTGAACAGCACACACACACACACACACACACACACACACACACACACACACACACTGAAGATCCAGTATTCTTTACATTCAAACAAAAAGCTCTTAATGTTGTGGGGTGTTCATGTGTTCATGCTTCCTGTCTTGTATAAAAGCACCTCAAAGTGATAATTGAGTGAAAGAATAAATATCTTACCATAATTTAGATACTTTGGTAAAAGTTTTCTCAAAAGTAAAAGTCAAAGTCTGACATTTACTGTACTCGTGTGTCAAATGTTAATTTATTAAACATTCAAATTAAAAGGGCCAATATGTGTTTCGCAGGCATATATTTAAATACTATACCATAATAAAGTATCTATGTCACCTTTAGTTGTTATTAAAATGCTGTTTTTATGTTTAAATAGAAAATAAACTTATCTTCTCATCACTTCCTCTTCTAAACGCCTTGAAATTGGTCTCTGTCTCTTTAAGAACCTCCTTCTGCTTCTGTCCCATCCCGTTCGGTGGGGGGGTTCGCATGCAGTTTACTTGGCAACTGAAAGTACATTTCCTCAAAGGTAATTTTAATCTTAAAAGAGCTTCAGTGAGTGAGAACTAATGTTGAGATCTCAGCAGACAGTTAAGTTTCACTTTCAGTTTCACCCGAGAGCCTGCAGGAGTCATGGGCGGGGTGTGTGTGTGGAGTGGGGGGGGTGCACTCTGCCATGAGGAAGTTCAGCTTAAAGACACGTCCCAGGAGCGTTTCTGGTACCAAAAGGTGTTTCTGGTCCCCACCTGTCGTTTTGCTCCTCAGCATGACTTCCTAAAAACACTGCATTATTTCTCAAACATGCATGAAAGAGTCAGAGCAAGGCTTTGGGCATGTTTTTTGTGAGAGTATAACATTATAACATGATATAAAACTCAAAAAATGTGATTTTACATGATATTGCACCTTTAAAATACATGTTTATTAAATAAAAGTCACAACTAATCATAGATCTCTTTAAAAGCATCACTTGAAAAGTTCTTACCGCCGCAATGTGCAGCAGGATGGCTCCGCTCTTTCGTTCATTGTTGGTAAAAAGGTCATCTGGGAACTCGTGGATGGCTGAGGAGACAGAAAATGTCACGGTTACATACCAGGAGCATGACTGTGGGCTTTACACACACCCAGTGGACCTTGTGATGGTGGGTGATCAGTCTGAGGTGCAAGCCAGGGGTGCTCAGCTGGATCAGCAGAATGACTGCTTGTTTTAGTTTCTCCATCTCTTTTGGTTGGATATTTGTGTTCTTAAACTGGCAACAGCAAGGAGAGAAAAAAACTTTTAAATTAAATTTTCTCTAAAGCCGAGGCACGTCACCCCACCCATTCATCTGTTAAACCAGTTGTTTCATAACTGTAGGAAAAGCTTCAGCTATATTAAGACTGAAGTCCTGCTGAATTAAAGCAACCAGGCAGAAAAGACACATGTTGAGTCCTCATCCATCAACCCAAGCTCCTGCTGGAGCACGGTTTGATCTTTGCAAAAAATAAAAATAACTAGACATGGGTTTTTACGATGTAAAAACAAGTGTGCATTGCCATGTAGCATGTCATTGCAGCATGGCTTTGCCTGGAGCAGTGGACTTGCAGAATGAACTTTGACCAAGTTCAAATGTGTTTTCTATACCAGCTTGTGCCTGTCACGTCAGCAGGTGTTTGTAATTAAGGTAATTGTGTGACAATATGAAGTTTGAAGAGATTTTTTTTTCTTAAAGTTGCATTAACCGGGTTTTGAACCCTGATCTCCAACATGAAAGTCCATGACATAGACCATAAGACCAATGGAGCTGTGGCAAAAGGTGGTGGCAGGGGTTGGTTTGTATGTGTGCAGAAAGAGGCCACATTGCCAATACAATTGTTGACACAAAAATGCATAATATTACAACAATC